GCTTGCTGCCAGGGAGGCTGAGCTGAATGCCAAGGCCCAGCGCCTCAGCCAGGAGACAGAGGCCCTGGGGCGCTCCCAGGACCGCCTAGAGGCTCAGAAGAGAGAACTGCAGCAGGTGACCACCTGGGGAGCCTGGGCCCCTTATCTGCATTTCAGATGGCCTTTTCTTTTCTTTTTTTTTTTTTTTTTTTCAGCATGTGAAATATTTATTCAGGGGGTTATGAAGGGGAAGAGAGAGAGAGAGAGACAGAGACAGAGACACAGACAGAGACAGACAGAGAAAAGAGAAAGAGAAAGGGAAACAGGGAGATGCACAGACGCCAAGAGAAGAGTAGTAAGCCTTTTCCTGTATCCTGATGAGTGTCTTCAGGTGGGATGGCCTGTAGCTCCCGCGTTAATGATAGTGGGTACATTTATGCATCGTTAGTAAGAGTGTGGATTCCACGCCTGGCTATGCTGCTGCAGCCATTTTTCATGAGGCCATTGAAGGATGTCAGGCCCAAGACAGGAGGATAAGGGCTCAATGGGGGAATGCCTAAACCACAGCAGGAGAGATGAATGCCAACTCGTGTGAATCCCTGCATGGTGGCCACTTAGCGGTTGGCTATAACCTCTTGTCTCTGCGTCACTTCCTGCAGGCTGTCCTGCAGATGGAGCAAAGGAAGCAACAGCAGCAAGAACAGAATGCTCCCCCTTCCAAACCTGAGGGACAGCTGCAGTTCCGTGCAGACGCAGGTACTGGCTCTGGACCCTGGACCTTGGGTCTGAAGGAGTCGGCCTGGGAGTCGTGGGTTGTCTAACGACATCCTCCCATTTCCTCCGCAGACGACGTCCCTGTCCCAGCTCCAGCAGGTGACCAGAAAGATGTGGCTGCTCCTGAAAAGAAGGCCGCAGAGCAGCCCCCCGAGCTGCCCCAGCCGGATTCCCAGCACTTATGATTTCTCCGTGACCCCAGCCCTCAAGTTCCTACAGTGTTGAAAGCTGAATGAAGTGTCCTTGCGGCCTCTCCGGAGGCCTGAGCCGGCATGGCTTCCTGGGGAGAACAGGGCTATTATGTTCCTCAGACGCGCCCATCTACCACACAGCCTCCAGGTCCCGGTCCCTTCCTTCTGTCTCCTGGCTTTTGTTTATTCTGTCAGGGACTCACTGCAGGAGCTGAAGTTAAGAGAGACCCTCACTTGGACCTGCCCCAGACCTGCCTTCCTTCCTGGTTTGCTCTTAGCTGTTCCAGGCTCTGCCACTTTACATCCCGTGCCTAGTGTCAGAGGACCACAGGACCTTGGCTCGGTCCCTTGGACTCTGCCTTCTGTGGGGCCAGCTATCTCAATTTCTTTCAGTGGCTGGAGGCTTGGGACATGGGGTGTCCTTCAAGTAACTGTCAGCTCTGCCTGGACCCCTGGCTTCCATTGGCACCTCGCCAGCCTTACCTTGACCTCCTGGCCCCAGAAGGTACCCAGATATAGCTACATCCCTAGCTGAGATCCAGCTGCCCTCAGCCCCCTGCGGGGGCTCCTGAAGTTGGCACGCCCACGTTCCTGGCTTCATGCCACCCTGCTGTGTCCTACTCCATGCCCAGTTCCATTCAAATATAGCGCGGCCCAAATGAACATTGGCGTGTTTGTGTGCACATACCACCCTCTTGGGCGTCCCACCTGCATGCCCCTTCTTCACTCCTCCGTGTTCTATTTAAACGTCACTTCTGAGAAGATTGGTGGGGTGGTTTTCTGTCTGCTCTTAGCAGAATAGCTTCATATTGCTTCAAATTGCACTGGGGACAAAAAAACGAAACCTGAGCTTGAAAAAATTTTAATAACTTAAATAATTTAAAAAATACATTAGTAAGGGGCTGTGGATCAGTTGGTATAATGCTTGCCTAGCATGCACGAGGCCCTATGTCCCACAGGCCACTTAGTGGGGAGTGGGAGCATGTGCCTGTAATCCTAACCCTTGGGAGGTGGAGCAAGAGGATCGGGAGATTAGAGTCATCCTGAGCTGTACAAGTTGAGGGCCAGGCCTGAGTTCTGTCCAGCCAAGAAGACTACATAGTGAGATCCTGGCAGAAGGGGGGCGCGGTTAACACAGAAATGGCTCTGTGGAAAAGTGTCTGCAGGCATGAGGACCAGTGTCTAAAATGTATCTCCAGCCACGGGGAGGCGCAGACAGGTAGGTTCCTTCAGGTTGCTGGCCCACATTCTAGCCAATTCTGCAAGCACCAAACCTTAGGGAGACTCTCAATAAAACTGGAGCACGTTGAACACATCCAACATGGCCCTCTGGCCTGCGCACACACACAATATCTAAGGTTTCAGGATTCTGAGGAAATTTCCCAGGCTCCTGGAACACTGTGCTTACTTCAGGGTCCCACGTCGCTGTGACAGCTCCAGATATCACCCACACCTGCACCAACATCCAGTCTGGATTGTGTCCGTGGGAGAATCTGCTCCGCAAAGCCCATTCCCAGACAACTTCCCACACATGTCCCGTTGTCAGGAGAACACCAGGACGTGCTATCTGTGGTGCTTTGTCATCTGGAATAGGGACATTTTCTGGTGCAGTGGGTGTTTGGGAAGAGGACCAAGGTCATCTTTACATAAGGGCATGCCCCCAACGGCTGCACCACCAAGTGTCACAGATGTGGACGTCACACAGGAGCCGCGGTGTGGAGCCCCAGAGTTAGGCTTCTAGCTGGAGTAGTGGCTGGAATCTTAGGAACCAGTTTTGTGACTTTCCCTTCTTCTCTACCAGGAAGTGCCTGGAGTTCCGTTACCATAGGCCTGGCTATCACTGGTTAGTTGCCATGGTTTCTGGGAGAATGTATTCTGTTCTCCAAGATGGTACCACATCAGAGATTCAGAGAGAAAAAGCAAACACCATACAACACAGCAGCTCCACTGCTGGAAAAATTACTTCCCTCCAGTAACCTAAACTGCTTAGAGACCCTCAGAGAGGGGAGGGCCCCTCCCACACCAAGGTCTTTTTTGATTTGTCTTGCTTTTTTTTTTTTTTTTTTGAGAGAGTGGGTGTCACTATGCAGCTCTGGCTATCTTGGAACTCTACGTAGGCCAGACCGGCCTTCAACTCAAGAGATCCCTCTGCCTCTGCATCTCGAGTGCTGGGATTAAAGGTGTACACCACCAGTCCTGCATAACACCTTTTAAAAAAGATTGTTAGTTCTGAGTATTTGTGTCTCTGTGTGTCTGGCACAGGAGTGCCGGTGCCCACAGATTTCAGAGAGCAGCTGGTGTTATAGGTGATTGTGTGCTTCTCAATGTTGGTGCTGTGAACCAAACTCAAGTGCTCTTAACTACTGAGCCATCTCTCCAGCCCCAGCTACCCAACACCTTAAACAAATGTCTGCAATGCAAGGGAAACTGGATATTGCCCTGCTGAAAGTGGATTTAGCCAATCGGTTGAGAATCAGTTTTCATATTTTACGTAATAGGCCACAGAACTCAGCTGCTCTTTTAAGGGTTTCCCGGAACTGGAAGCTGCAGGAGCTCGCGTTTTCCGGAACAGAAATGTGACCCCCCCACCAAAAGGGGTCCGGTCCTGAGCCAGGAAGAAGCACAGAGGGGCATGGAAGAGGATTCTGTCCCTAACTCCAGGGGTCATAAGAATCAGAACCACCTGTCAGGCCTGTGGTCCAGGCCTGTCGTCTTAGCTGCTTGGGAAACTGAGGCAAGAGGATTATTTCAAGCACACAGTGACACCTATGTCAGGGAATGTAAATGAACTGTCATTTCTATCAAAGGGTTAAACAGAAATGGGAATAGTTATTACTCATGATTACAGTTAGATAACTATAGATTAACAGGGCTATGGTTAGATGTTGCGTAATCTTAGTTCAATGATTAATTAAAACTATGATTACTGATAGAATCCCCGTCTCACTAAATTGTGACTGAACATGCAGGTCAGGCAATGTTAAGTGAACCTGAAGAAAGGACAATGAAATTGTATTCTAAGAGAGCAGGACGTAGCGGGTATAAATGAGATGTCCTTTCTCTTCTCTCCAAAAGTTAAGTGAGATAAAGTTCCATCATTAAAGAGACTTGTAAAGACATAACTGGGGGTGGAGAGGAAGGGGCTCAGCAGTTAAGAGCACTTGGCTAGGTTCCCGGCATCTCTAACTCCAGTTGTAGGGGATCCCACCTCCCCTTCCTCCTCATGTCATGTATTTGAGGGTGCACCTGTTTGTATTTATGAGACTGTGCACATGCATGGTGCACAGAGAGGACAGAAGAAGGCATTGGATCTTCTAGAACTAGAGTTAGATGATTGGGAGCTGCCCTGGGGGACTGGACTCAGGTTCTCTGGAAGAGAAGCCAGTGCTCTTCACTGCTGAGCCGCCTCTCCAGGGACTGAAACGCCCTCTTCTGACCTCTGCGAGCACCAGGTGTGCACATGCTACATATACATACACACATACATACAGGCAAAAAACCCACACACACATTTGAGCAACAAGAGTCCCTACTGGGTGTGTTCGCTTGCTTGATTGGCATGGCTATGCCCCCATCTACAGATTTTGCCTTGCCAAAAATACTTTGGGTCCTGAGATCCCAAACCAAATTCTAATGATAGCAAGACCCTGTCTCAAAATAAAAAGTAAAAGGGCACCTGAAAGATAGGCATAGTGATATATGCTTGTAATCCCTGCATTTAGGAAGCTGAGGCAGGAGGATTGCGAGTTGGGGTCAGCATCCTGGGCTATATTCTGAATTCCAGGCCAGCAACAAAGTATGAAACTGTCAAAGGAGGGGGTGGGGCAGAGCACAGCATTGGAGAAATGCCTCTCTCTCTCTGTCTCTCTCTCTTTCTCTCTCTCTCTCTCTCACTCTCTCTCTCTCTCTCTCTCTCTCTCTTACACACACACACACACACACACACACACACACACACACACACGACTCTTTTGTGTATCTAGAGATCAAGGTCTCAACCAAATCAGCCAAGCAGTGTACGGTTCCATTGGCCCCGCCTCCAGCTTGCAGTGCAATCTATTCTTACCAGCCGCCCAGCCGCCGGGGGCAGCTCCTCACAGGCCGAAGATTCCAGACCAGCAGTGGAGAGCGGAGAGAATGGCGCTGCGCTGGGGCATCGTGTCAGCTGGCTTAATCGCCAGCGACTTTACGACCGTGCTGAGCTCACTGCCTCCCTCGGAGCACCAGGTGCACCTCCCTAGGGAGACCCTGGGGCTGAGGAAGAGGGGAGTCTCGGGTCTAAGAAGGTCCCTAGTCCCACGACTGAGACAGGAGGCGACCCTGAGAGGAGAAGGAAACGCTGAGGTCTTCTGATTCCCAAGGCCGGGAGACCTGTTCTCAGCGCACTCCTCCTCACCCCAGGCTACTAACCTGAGGTGCCTGAGGGTGATGAAGAGGATATTAGCTACCCGGAGAGAAGCTATTGTGCAGTCAGGGACTGGGCCTTGGCTCATGGGGACCTCATTTCCCTTTATATTTAGAGTCTTGCCATGTACCCCATGGGCACGTCTGGCTTTCCCACCATCCACTTTCTCCTCCTCCCAAACAGGAGTATGTTCCCCAGCCATCTTGGAGGAGGCTGTCTTCTCCCTAGTTCAGTCTCTCCCATTGTCTGTCTCTCATCTACTTACCTCCAACAACGGCCCCACATCACCCTTTGAATCCAACACCAGGTGGTGGCAGTGGCTGCGAGGGACCTGAACCGGGCAAAGGAGTTTGCCCAGAAATACAACATCCCCAAGGCATATGGCTCCTATGAGGAGTTAGCAAAGGACCCAAACGTGGGTGAGTGGCCTGGACAATGGAGGTGGGCAGAGCTAGGCACAGCCTCTTGCCTGTGCTGTGGTAAATGTACACCTGACACCCGGCTGCGGCGGTGCAGAGCTCTGCCTGCCTTGGTTTCCTCTTTCTTTCTCTCTCTCTCTCTCTCTCTCTCTCTCTCTCTCTCTCTCTCTAGATTGATTTATTATGTATACCACGTTCTGACTGCATGCCAAAAGAAGGAATCAGATCCCTTTACAGATGGTTGTGAGCCACCACATGGTTACCAGGAGTTGAACTCAGGATCTCTGGAAGAGCAACCAGTGCTCTTAACCTCTGAGCCATCTCTTCAGCCCTGATTTCTGGTTTCTAAGTGCTGGCATTAAAGGCCTGGCTCCTTAGAGTTTTGGGACAAACCTCACTATGTAGCCCAGACCGGTCTCAAATCGGTTAGCCTCCTACCTCAGCCTCCCAAAAGCTTGGTAGTCTCTTTTCAACGAGAGGATTAGTTGAAGGCACCACTTAGTCCCTGAACGTTGGTGGACAGGCCTCTTTGGGCAGTGCTGACCCACTCTCCTTCCTTCTGCTGCAGAGGTGGCCTACGTCGCCACCCAACACCCCCAGCACAAGGCAGTGGTACTTCGCTGCCTGGCAGCAGGCAAGGCCGTCCTTTGCGAGAAACCCATGGGTGTGAATGCAGCCGAAGTTCGGGAGATGGTGGCAGAGGCCCGTTCTCGGGGCATCTTTCTTATGGAGGTAAGCCTGGAGGGCCCTTCTGACATCCAGACAGCCCAGCTGCCAGGACTAAACACAGTTGCCCAAGCTTGCACACAATCAAAATGCCAAAGGATCAGAATCTCACTGTGGCCAGGATATAACTGAATCTAGCCTCTGTTGAGGCACAAACCCAAGTTCACTGTTCCCCACTTGAAGTGATCAATGAGGAAAAGTATTTATTCGGAAAGCAAGAAAACCAAGGAAGACAGAGGCCATTTGCTTAGGGCTTGCTGGTGCAAGACTTACCTAAGGAGTTGTGGGGAGGTGTGGCAGGCAGACCAGCGGCTCAGGAGAGGTCCACAGCACGCAGGAGCTTCCCAGAGGCACGGACTGCTGTTATCTGCAGGTCAATGCCGCTCTGTGAACTCGAGGAAGCCACAGATAAGAACAGTGACTCAGCCTTTGTAGATTCTCCCGGAAAAAGTTACATGCTGGCCCTGGTGCACAAACAGTTTCTTTCTCAGGCAGAACAGGAGACAATGAAGAGATACTTTCCAGAGCCCCATCCCCAACACAGTGGGAGTGACCTTCAAGGCCCTGCAGTTTTTAACGCATTTCATGACTCCAGGCAGAGATATCACCTATGGCAAAGCTAGTGGGTGACTAAAAATTTGCCACCAAACTGTGTGACTTCCACAGGAACAGGGTGGTAACTCACTTCTGTCGTCTTGGCACTGGGCAGGAGGCAGAGGCAGGGAGAGTAAAAATTCAAGGCTGCCCAGCATGGTGGCGAACACTTTTATTATTTCTTTCCTTATTTGGTTTTTCAAGACATGGTTTCTTTGTGTAACAGAACACTTTTGTTTGTTTGTTTGTTTGGTTGGTTGGTTGGTTTTTTGAGACAGGGTTTCTCTGTGTAACAGCCCTGGCAGTCTTGGAACAAGCTCTAGACCAGGCTGGCCTTGAACTCATAGAGATCCCCCCCCACCCCAATCTCTGCCTCCTGAGTGCTGGGATTAAAGGCGTGAGCCACCACTGCCCAGCCCAGTGGACACTTTTAATCTTAGCACTGGGATCTTCATGAGTTCCAAGCCAGCTAGGGTTGCCAGATTGTATCTCAAAAAAAGGAAGAAAGAAAAAAATGAAAGGAAGGAAGGAAGGAAAGGAGGAAAAAGAGTGGATTTGTGGCTGGAACTGAAGAATTGGCTCCGAAGCAAGAACACTGGTTGTTCTTTGGGAGGGCCAGAGTTCAGGTGTGATCAAAGGCATTGGACTGTTTGCAGTCAGGGGATTTGCCGCCCTCTTCTGGCCTTTGGGGGCACCTGCATGAATGTGTGCCATACAGACTCACAAACTAATAAACAGTGCAAGTTTCCTTTAACCTCAGCACTCCGGAGGCAGAGGCAGGCGAATCTCTGTGAGTTTGAGGCCAGCCTGATCTACAATAGCTAGTTCCAGGACAGGCTCCAAAGCTACAGAGAAAACCTGTCTCAAAAAAAAAATTATCTTCAGATATATAGAGAGGCTGAAGCCAGCCTGAACTACATGAAACTCTTCTCAAACAGACAAAAAAGTCACCCAAAAGTGAAGCTAGCAGGCTTACATGATGGCTGTCATAATCCTTAGCAAATGGGACAGAACTCCCTCTGTTCTTTAGCATATGTATCGCATTTTAGGGAGAGAGTAGGAAGAGGGCTGGAGAGGGGGACACAGGCAAAGGCCTTTTTTCTTCCTTTGGAGATAGAATCACTCTACATAGTCCTGGAACTCACAGAGAAGCTCCCTTCCACGCCACGCCCCCTTGCCTCCTGAGGGCTGGGATTAAAGGTGTGCACCACCAGCCCACCAATACAAAGTTTTTTGAAGGGCTAGAGATGCTATCTCAGTGACTAGCCCATTTGGTTTGTTCCCTAACCCAAGGCTCTGGGTTCAGGCCCACTTGCCCAAGGCATGGTAATTTAGCCTACAGTGGACTTCACCCACAGGCCAGTCTGATCCAGCTAGTTCCTCAATTGAGACTCACTTCTACTACTTAAAATGAGTTCAAAGCCAGTCTGAGCTACATAATACCCTACCTAAAAAAACTAAACAAAAATGTTTATGGGACAGAGATTAGTTAGAAAAGGTAACTGGGAAGATGGCCACGTGTGGAAGGTCCAGGGAGGACCTTATGTCAGCACCTATAGGCTGTGGAAGGATAGAGGTGTGTTTTGGGTTTTGGGTAGGGTTTAGGATCCCTAGGAAGATGTGACTGATTACCTCCTGAGTTGTGATTCCTCCATATCCCTGGGCTCCTCTCTCTGGTTTGCAGGCCATCTGGAGCCGGTTTTTTCCTGATTTTTCCTGTGACTGATTACCTCCTGAGTTCTGATGCCTCCATATCCCTGGGCTCCCCTCTCTGGTTTGCAGGCCATCTGGAGCCGGTTTTTTCCTGCCATGGAGGCTCTGCGGGAAGTTTTGGTCCAAGGAACTGTCGGGGACCTACGAGTGGCTCGGGCAGAATTTGGGGCACAATTGAGCCATGTACCCCGGTCCACAGACTGGAGCCAGGCCGGCGGCGGCCTGCTGGACCTAGGCATCTACTGCGTGCAGTTCCTCTCTATGGTCTTTGGTGCGCAGAAGCCAGAGAAGGTTTCAGCCGTGGGAAGGATCTATGAAACAGGTACTGCGTACTCTCGGCTAGATGGCAGTAGGAGGCGTTCTCCCTCAGTTCTCCTGATCCCCACTTCCTCCCAGAAAAATCAGATTAGACAGCTGGAGGGACTTCCTTGAGTGATGCCTCTCCTAACCACGCACTGGACACATAAAGAACTACCATTCCCAGAACTGCCAGTGGCACATGTATACATTTAGCTGGTGGTTACCCCATGGCTTTCTGGGAAATGTAGTTCAAAGAATTAGCGCACCCTCAGAAAGGCCCAAAGTCTCCTTCAAAACCTGACTCCCAACCCCACCCTCCACACCTTTACCCTTTTACACAGGTCAGCTCTCCACTGGTCATGCACTGACACTCTCTCACGTGATCTGAGACTGGATTGCTCTATTTTAATTATTTGACTGGTCAAACGATATGGGTGTCATGGGAGTTGATGAAGAGTTTTTTTGTTTGCTTGTTTTTTTTTTCTTTTTTGTTTGTTTGTTTGCTTGCTTGCTTTTAGTTTATCGAGACAGGGTTTCTCTATAGCTTTGGAGTCTATCCTGAAACTCACTCCGTAGACCAGGCTGGCCTCGAACTCAGAGATCTGCCTGTCTCTGCCTCCCGAGTGCTGTGATTAAAGCTGTGTGCCACCACTGCCTGGCAAATTGAAATAACTGTTAAGAGCGTTTAAGAAATACAAACAACTAATAGTGCTGTTTATCTTTAATCCCAGAACTCTGGGAGGCCGAGGCAGAGTGAACTACATGAGTTTGTGGCCAGCCTGGTCTATAAAATGAGTTCCAGGACAGCCAGGGCTACATAGAAAAACCCTGTCTTGAGCTGGGCAGTGGTGGCACACGACTTTAATTCCAGCACTTGGGAGGCAGAGGCAGGCGGATCTCTGTGAGTTCGAGGCCCAGCCTGGTCTACAAGAGCTAGTTCCAGGACAGGCTCTAAAACTACAGTGGAAAAAAAAAAACACAAAAAAAAAAAAACCCCAAAAACTCTGTCTTGAAAAACAAACAAAAAAAGACTTTTTATTTTATACATATGGGTGTTTTGCTTGCATGAGTGTCTGTGTACAACGTGCATGCCAGGTCCCAGGGAGGCCAGAAGAGGGCATGAGATCTCTTGGAACTGGAGTTGTGAGCTGCCACATGGATGCTGGGCATTTAACCTGGATCCTCTTAACCTCTGGGCTCTCTCTCCAGCCTCCTTCTCTCTCTTTTGAAACAGTTAATGGAGCCCAAGGCCTGAACCTGCTATGAACGGTCTAGCCTCTTTCCTGGTTTACTAATTTACTTTTTTTTAAAACGATGCTTTTTGCCTCAGCCTGCCTCTGCCTTCTGAGTTTAAAGGTGTGATCAGCCATGAATGGTGATGGGATTTGTTTTTTTGTTTGGTTGGTTTTGGTTTTTGGTTTTATGAGACAGGGTTTCTCAGTAACTATGGAGCCAGTCCTTGAACTCACTTGGTAGACCAGGCTGGCCTCAAGCTCACAGAGATCTGCCTTCTGAGATTTGGGATTGAAGGCATGAGCCACCACCACCCGGCAGGATTTTTTTTAAAGGTTATTTTAATTTGTATGTATGTATGTATGTCAGCATGAGCATATGCTATGTGACCTTAGAGGTCAGAAGAAGGAATTGGATTTTCTGGAACTGGAGTTTTGGGCAGCTGTGAGCTGCCATGTGGGTGCTGGGAACTGAACCCACTTACTCTGGAAGAGCAGCAAGGCCTCCTACACACTGAGATAAAATTCAGATACCATACAATTGCTCTTTCAAAGTACACGATTAATTTAGGACATTGTAGTTCAAGCCTGTAATCCCAGCCCTTGGGAGACAGAGGCAGGAAGAGTTCATGAGTCCCAAACCAGCCTGGATTATACAGTGAAGCCTTGTTTGATAAAAAACAAAACAAGGTGGGGGAGCTAGAGAGATGGCTCAGAGGTTTAGAGCTCTGGCTGTACTTCCAGAGGTTCTGAGTTCAATTCCTAGCAACTACATAGTGGCTCACAACCATCTATAATGAGATCTGGTCCCCTCTTCTGGCATGGAGGTGTATGTGCAGACAGAACACTATTACTATGCATAATAAACACACAAACAGGGAAACAGGGACCAGGTGAGAGGGCTCAGCAGGTCAAAACTGTTTACCTTGGAAGCCTCAAGACCAGAGTTTGATCCCCAGATGGAGAGAGAATTTTCTGGACTCTTCTGATTTCTACACGTGTGTGCCTGTAATCCCGGCTCCTCAGGGAGTGGAGACAGGAGGGTCCGTAGGTTTATTGTCGAATCCCTAAGAAGGTTAGCTTGAGCCCAAACCCCAGAAAGTCTCACAAACCAATAAACAAAACCCAGAAAAAACAACAAAAACCAGGCCAAGTGTCTGGGCCAGGGGCTGGAGAGATAGCTCAGAGGTTAAAAGCACTGGCAGTTTTTCCAGATGACCCAGAGGATCCAGGTTCAATTCCCAGCACCCACATAGTAGCTCACAACTCTCTGTAACTCCAGTGCCTGGGGATCTGACACTCTCACACAGACACACATGCAGGCCAAACACCCATGCATTTAAAATAAAAATAAATCGTATTTTTGGGGGAAAAAAAAGTGTCTGGGCCAAGGCTGGAGGCCTGTGCAGTCTGTCCCGCGACC